ATTGTACCCGCCCAAGAGGGCCTGATGGTTTGCCACCCAGAATTGCAGGCTGGCTGTTAAATAAATTTTTCTCCCCAAAAGGTCAAGTCTTTTGGCCTCTATTTTTGGGAGTTGAACTAGTGTGCCCCTGCTTGTCCTGTTTGTTGGCTGCAGAGACAACCAGCGAGCCCGGAGGTGGGTGGGTATAAAGGTTCTCGAACACCCTGGCTGAGATGAAGTACTTCTTTTCTGCCCTTTTGGAGGTGGGAGGGATGGACAACGGGGTTTGCCAGAGGGTCTTGGCAATTTTCAAGACCCCGTCATGCATTGATAGTGCAACGCGGGCCAGGGTAGAGGCTGAGAGAACATTGAACAAGGTGTCCGCCTGCTCAGCCCTGTCCTCCACCTCTAGGCCCAAGTTCTTGGCCACCCATTGGAGCAGGGCCTAGTGTTCTTTAAAATGGTCGGGTGGGCTAGCCCTTGAGGGTCCCGCGACCGCCTCGTCCGGGGATGATGACAATGACTGTACGGCCAGGGGAGGCATCATCCCCCGTGGGGGAGGGTAGTTTTGGAGTGTGCGCTGTCTCCTCTACCCCGACTGCTGAATGGGTCTCATGCACCGAACCCAGTGCTGCCGGTACCGCCAGCTGTTTTTCCAAGGTGGCAGTAGATGAGCGGTGCAAAGGGGGCATCGTCATCACCAGCGTGCCTACGCACTCCAATATGGCCACTGCACTTGCCGTGCTGTCAAGGCAGTGCCAGAGATGTTGGCGCAGCCTCAGGTGCCCAATCGCCGATGGGGTCTTGGCGGGGGCTGAACTGCCCTTCCGTGCCCATAGAATCCCCTTCTGGTGACCACGGCAGGACCGTCGACGCCTGTGACTGCCTGCTGAGCGTCGATGCCAGAGACCAGTGTTTGGAGTTAGAAGATCGGTGCCAGTATTGAGGGGACCAGTGCCGGGGCGGACTGGAATCATAACGGGCAGTGTTCCCACAGGGCAGAGGACCGAGATCTGCACCAAGAAGATGACTGGTGGGAGGGCGAACGGTGCCCGTAGTACGGAGACTTGCACCTCCTCCTAGGCGATCCCCGTCGAGATGACAGGGACTGCAATCGTGATGCTGGTGACTGAGGGCGAGCCCCAGAGGATCTGGGCTGTGACACCAGAGATCTGCAGTGCGGAGATGGAGAGCACTGCCTTGTCTTGGAGGATTGTTGGTGCTCCACTGCCCCCTGAGGGGTCTTAGCGGCTGGCTTGCCCTCATAGGGAGCCTTTGCTGCTTCTTGTGGCACACGCCGGCGGAGGTCTCTGCTCTCTCAGCACCGGTGAATCTTGGGAAGGCATTGATGACACCAGAAGTTTGGGTCCCTACCACTCTTGGGAGTCAGTGGTGGATCCTTTAAGGGGCTAAGGACTCCGACTGTGGAGGCACGTCCACGTGGCTCCAGAGTGGCAGGGAGGCCCGAACTGGGTCCTTTACCTGATGCCCCATGGCCTTTCTTGCCCAGTGCTGGGAAGCCGTGCTTCTTCGTTTTCTTTCTGTGCACTGGCGACAGGGGGCCAACATACTAGGCAAGTCTTGGTGGGACAGCTCGGAAGCCGGACAAAGGGCAGCCTCCATGAGGAGAGCCCACAAACCAATATCCCGCTCTTTCCGAGTCCTGGGTCAGAAATTTTTACAAATATGACACTTCTCCTTCACATGTGATTTCCCCCAAGCACTTGAGGCAGCTGCTGTGGGGGTTACTTAGAGGCATAGGCCTTTTACAGTCCACACAGGGCTTAAACCCTGGAGACCAGGGCATGCCCCGCCTGGGGCAAAGTTTTCGCTGGGACTTTAACTTCTAACTCCTAACCACACTTAACAACTACTTAACATTAACTACTATAAACAACTATTTACGAAGCCCTAAGGCTCGAAGTCAGAAGAGATGAAACCGCTAGCCCTTGCTACGCAAGGAAAGGAGCTCCAACCAACCACCGTGGGTGGTAAGAAGGAACTGAGAGGGCATAGGGCCGGCGGAGCCTAATATACCGATGCATGAGCGCAGCACTCAAGGGGGCGCCATAGCCGGCCCTACGGAAAAATCTCCAACGACCCCGAATGTGGGCACTCGCACACTTAGAATGGAATCAACATGAGCAAGCACTTGAAGAAGAAAAAGAAGCTCTTGGATGGACAATGTGGTATCCTGGGTGGATCAAAAGGATTATTCGTCCATAAAGAGATTAGGCGAGGATTGTACAGAATGTCTACTATGGTTGCAAACCTCCAGTAATGGAGATGCCACATAAGAAGAAAGGAGAATGTAGGTGTCACTCATTTTTTAAGTTTTATTTCGGACCATGCTGAGCTACAGGAGGGGGAAACCAGGTGGGAAAAAGTGAAACAAAGAACTCTGGGGTACATAAAGAGGCAGTCCCCGAAGAACAGGCAAAGAGTGAGGCAGAAACTGCTGGGGAGCAGTCTGAATCCAACTCCTCAGAGTAGGGGTGTTTGTAATTAGCTATGTCTACGTAAGCCTAAAAGTAAGACAGATATGTGTCTAAATCTTTTATTGTGTTAAAAAACCACCCACAGGGTACTGTAGTCCTGGCCCTGGTCTAAGAGTGGGAAAACTGAAGGATTCTTCCCAGGCATAGGTAAAAGGCTGATTGCTGAGGGAGGAGCACTTGGAAAGACCAAGGAAAAGGTGCAGAGAGCTCTGCACTGTGACTGCATCTTATTGGATAGGTTTCAGAGTAGCAGCCGTGTTAGTCTGTATCCGCAAAAAGTACTCCTGTTCTTCTTATTGGATAGTTGTTCATTACTAGAGATTTTACATTTTACTCTGAAACACCCAGTACTGGCCACTGTCAGAAACAGGATAAGGTCTGCATAGGCCATTGGTCTAATCTGGTATGGCAATTCTCACATTGCTAAGTATGTGAAATGCATTATATGGTAGAAAATGGAAGAATAGCTCAGCAAGTTTGGACATAATTTATCTCGAGATAAACCGGTAGGTTTCTATTGAATGTTTCTAAAAATGTATACAGGGTGTATTACATTTGATCTCATAGCTGCCAAGTTGGTTTTGATTTAGAACCTAATCTAAGCAGTAAGGTTAATTAGCTTCCTAGTAGAGTCCTGTTAGCACAAATGACCTCCCTGTACATTAAGCAGTGGTGGCTGTGATCTTGCTTGTGGGAAAAAGTGTGCGCCCCTTTAAGGGCTAGAGAGCTACAGACCAGGTTAGTATGGGGACGCTGACCCAATCCCCTCAGGTGACCAGAAGAGAGGGGAGACTATATAGGTTCATACCAGTGCAGGAAAAGCCATCTTTTACCTGGAGCAGCACCCACCCTCCCTCCCGTGAAAGTGGTGAAATACAGGGTTTTGTCAGGATCCGCTGTGGGCACTGCGCTAGTCACTCCTTTCTCAGAGGGCTGGGAAGGAATTTTTCTCTCACTGCCTGAGTGAGCAAGGTGAAGCAGGGTTGTTGTTTTTTTCACCTTCCCCACGCAGGTTCAGGGAGACTTAGTTGGGGCAAACATGAAAGGGGAGTTAGGCTATGATGTTGCAACTCATTATATATATATAAGCAGTGCACGTACTCTGTAATTAAGGAATACAGAATAAAGTTGTGGCCTAAATAAACTACATCCAGTGTTTCCTGTACAAGCAGGAAATTCTTATTGCCAAATAACTCAGCTTTGCAACTGGCCAGCTGTTCCTAGGATTGTTGGGCCTACTAAAGAAGTGGGGGCAGAGGGTAGCTTCCCATCTCTGGGACACCATCATCACTCCTCATTGTCTCTCACCAGTGTGAGAGAGATGGATTGGCCTGAGGTACAGAGGAGGAAACATTCTCAAAGTCCCCGTTTCCATTCCTGTTTTCAGTCCATTTTAGAGCAGTCAGCTGAGATTCTCTTTCCTGCACATACCATTCAATATCCCTGGATGAAACAATTGGGAATGAAACTCCATACCCCTCACTGAAACATCTGCAACACACTGCATTCATTGTGCCCCAGCTGGAGTGGAGAGGTTGATTTTACAGACTTAACTCTTGGAGAGGTGACCATATAAAGACCATCTGATTGCACCTGAAAGAAGCTCTCTGAGAAGAGACTGAGATATCTGCAGGCACTGAGTAGATTAGTGCTGTGAGGATGTTTTTGACTCTGAGCACAAACAGATAGGGCCAGAATTTGGCTTAATGGGTATATTGTTTGAATTAGAAGTGTGCATGCAGGATTTGGTTCTCTAGATGTTACACTATATAGTGTATATTTGTGCCACAACAACAAAACACAGAGTGAATCATGAGGAGATTCAGGCCTCAGATTGTACGTGTAAGCCATGCATGCGTCTTGTCCTACATCAGGATGTATGAAGGACTCTGAGCATACTCAAGTTTTTTTTCCTATGAGACCATTCACAAAGTGTCTGCCCATTAAATATGTCAATTGGGCTAGGTGGAATAAGAGGGTTTTTTTTCTTCAGAAGGTATCATGGAAGGCCTACTGAGGTATTCCAGAAGTAACTAAAGAGAGAGGATTTTCACCCTGACAAACAGCCTCTGGGGTAGTGCAATCCACAGTGCTCGCCAAGCTTCCATAGCCCATCTGTCATAGAAGTTATTTTCAGCCAAACCAAGCCCAGATGTATCAACATCCATTTTCCTTCCTTCTGACAGGAAAACACAATAACTACCTAGCATTCAAAAACACATATAGTTTAAGAAAATGACAATTTACAAATGTATGACCAAAAAACCAAATAAAGTGGAAATTTTCACATATTAAAACAAGATTCAACAGAATTATACAATGCTACTATAGCACAATATTTCCTCATTTCAATATTATTGTGCAATAATGCAACATTTAAAATGTCTTGTTTTATTTCATAGCACATTCTAAGATGGAGATCTCCATCTATTATGAAATGAAAATAATCCCTCTGTGTGTACACACACACAATTATTCATTATATCTTACAAGAAAATAATTACATAATATAAATGTCCATACCCCAGGCAGCATCTGAAGTGAATTATTGTCCATCCACAATTCCTTTAGGTTTTGTATTTGTTCCAGAACCTCAGGCTAGAGAAAAAATAAATAGTGTAATCGACACGCTCATTAATTCTGTATTTTTTTTCAAATGGTTTCCCTGTCCTCCTTTGTTCTTTATAAATATATTAATCATCTACATCAGGCTTTCAGAAATAAAAATTAATTAAGCAGTACAGTTCTTTAATTTACATACATTATTGTTCTTTATCAAATGGTATAGGAAATCTCAGTAGAAATGGATGCAAAAGCCTTAAAAATCCTTGATGCAATTAGATTATTGTCAGCGTCTAAATGTAATTTCTGAATGAAACAGAACAGAAGTCAGGACTGTGGAGCTTCAAGATAGATGTGTTGACTTGAAAGATTAGGTCTTAGTTTGGAGCTTAGGTTAAATTTTACTTTTGGCATAATATACAGTCTTAACAGTAAGGGCAGCATAACAGTGTACACTTTGCTGAACTACTGGAGCACCTAATGCACTTCTGAATTACCTATATCTCCCAAATCCTAGTTCTCAGCAATAATTTTAAGGATCCCCTTTTTTTAAGACTAGAAGACTTTAGTGATAGCAAGACCCTCTCTCTGAGTATCATAAGTCTCAGACACACTTCAGCTTTTTAGTCAAATTACTGCTTGTGGAAAAAAAAATCAAGAATCAGCTTTATTAGCAGGCTTCAGATACTTGCATCATGTAAGATTGGGCAACATTTCATTCACGAAACTGACTAACTTCATTAGCTTATTTTTTTTATTACACTTAAAAATAGACTGCTAAAATAGGAAATCTGTCTTTTTGTAGTATTGATTTTTATACATTTCTGCAGTAAATTTTTGCTTTTTGCAAAAATTTTCCATCAGGAAAAATCAAAAAGAAATATTTTGTTTTGGGCCAGTTCGTGATATCGGAATATTTTGTTTTGTTGAACTGACCTGAAATGCTTTACTGCATTGCCCTATCAGAGCATTGCCTTATGGAAGTTGTCATTCAGAGCCCCATTCTTCCCTATTAGCCAGTGTCACAAGGCAGAGCTTCTCCCCAGCTTACTACTACCCCTGCAGTCTTCTTTTTAGGCAGGCTTTTATTGTCCCTACTTATGCAAGCAACCAAAATCAGTTCCTCAGCTCACTCTTTGCTTCTCCGGCTTTCACTGCCTCCCATCCAGGAGACTCTGGCACTCTTGCTTCCTGCAGCTTCCCACCTCTCTCTGACTCACTCTCCCTCCGTCAGCCCTTTGCTGGAACTCCCTCTAACCCTGTATAGCCCCCTGAACAAGGCCAGCTGGGAGCACCTGCTCTGCAACAGCAGAGCTGGACCTACTTCATTTACAAAGGCCAGCTACCCAAATCAACTAGGCTCCCTGGAAGACCAGGTGCATTATAGAAGTCACAAGAAAAAACATAGTCCAGCCAGGGAGCCTGACCCACAGGGAAGAATGGCATCAGCCAGGGGCATCAGGATCCTGAACTACAACTCCCTTGAGACACTATATCACAATAGGAAAATGATTTTTAAAGTTGAACTGACCCAAAACTGTTTCTGATCAGTTCAACAAATCAAAATGAAACATTTTGATTTTGGGAATGTAGAAATGTTTCATTTCAATCAAAATTCCATGCATTTTTTGTTTTAATTTCCAATCAGTGAAAAATTTTAAAATTACAACTTTTTGTTCCTATTTGGGACAAAAACAAATGTCAAAATGTTGGAATTTCCCATGAGATGGAAATTCTGAATTTTGCTCAGCTCTGGTAACATGCAGTTTATTTGTTGAATGTAGATCTTTGTGGGGAGGGGTCAGTGAAATTTCCTCAAACAGACTGGTTTTTACAAATGTTTCCTACACAGATATTTCAAACTATGAATTACTATTAATTTGTTTTGAGATGTAAAACTTGTTTCAAAGGTTTGAATCCATATTTTTTACCTGTGGAACTTTAAGAGAGAAGGAGTTGTACAAACCACTTTTTTTTTGCTAGAGACACATTTATGGTATTTGAAAAGGTGAGTTTTATCTGAAAATGGGTTGGAAGGTTTGGGTGGTTGTACAGTCTTGCCTCATCTCAAAGAAAAAGAACTATCTTCTCCTATTAAATATTGTATATACCAATAATCATCAAGATGTTTACAATAATCAAGAAAGAAGATCATACTGAGCATGCTGCTACCTAGGGACATTGGGATGCTAGTGGATGTTTCAAATACATTGAAATGAGTGTTTATTTTAAAAAATTTTATTTTGAAATGAGTGTTTTGTTTGTTTTTATAAAATGACAGCAAACGCCATCCTAATCAAACATGAAGGACTGATCCAACACCATTAGAGTCAATGGCAGTCTTTCCATTGTTTTCAATGGGGCTTGGATCAGTCCAGAATGAGGAACCTTAATGACTGTTGGATATTCCAAAGGTAGAGAAGTCACCCACAAAGAGTAATCCTTGACAGTAGTAGAGCTAGCGTGAAATGTTTTCCAAGAAAGAAACTCCCATTTCCATGAGAAATGTTAGATGATTACAACAAACAATCACAATCCCTGCAACTTCTTCCCTCCTTTCCCCTTTCGTACAATTATTACTTAAAAATGTCTGATCATACATTTTAAAAAATTCCCATATACTGTAACTGTTTATATTTTGACCTTTCTTTTTCCATCTCTGTGATTCTGATGATATTATATCTGATAGAAACTTTCTTTAAAACCTCCTCCTGTTCTGTGATTTATACAATTATGCAAAAAAGCACTCTTTCCATAGTAGTGAACAGTAATGTCACTAATGCTTCAGAATTAGTTTTAACATATTACACATGCCAGTCAGAAATGGATGGTTTGCACTGCCAACAATATGTGCATGCAACTAAACATACAGACGTATAACTCGATTTCTCTAATAAGAATTTACCTGGATTTATGATTAATGACAATTTTTACTTCACATACAGTTCCTCAGAAATTATTTATATTGGAGGAAATGGGTCAAATCCTGTTCTATTATACCTTTGTAACCTAATGGATTTTTCATATACGGTGAGAACTTCAGATATAGGGTCCTGAGTTCACTTTTACCCATTATATTAAGTGCACACATTTTTCACTCAACCAGAAATTTTCACCATTTCATCCTAATAGGTCCATTTCTTATTTCTGAAATAAAGTACATCTCTTTCAGACGATAATGCTGGCATCTATTTTGCTGCACATTATCCAAATAAAGAAATGTTTCTATGTATATCTTTGGACTTTCTGGAAAGAGCAAACATATCCTAATCAATGACAGTTTCAAAATTGTTTTTGAAGAACATTAAATCTTACTTTTCAAATAAAAAGCTTACAGCTTAATGTTAGACCATTCCTGGACTTCTGTGCTTTCTCACAGATAGGCTTACTGCAGCTAATTCAGCCATAACTCCATACACAAGAGATGAAACTGCCCCAAAATTTTGGTACATACAAACATGCTTTTTTACAAAGGCCTAGACCATGACAGATCTCTGGCAGTTGAAAGTCTGACAGAGGATGAGGCAGCAGTGGTACAAAATGGCCTCAGTCTCTCTTTAACTTTATAACACCTAACACAAAATGCTGAATAACTTGTTATTCATCAGCTCATTCAGAATTTATTGTTTTAATTGACTGAATTTAATGTTATTTAGAAGACCACTGCTGATGACCAAGCTGACATTGTTTACTGTTAAATATTAGTGGTTATTTATATAATGTCAATTGTGTTATAGCTGCTTTGCACATAGAGGTGGGCATACATCATATTATAAAAAGTTGTAATTTAGGTATTAGTGTGATGGTACTATAGAAATACCTAAGACAGACTGATAGAAAGAAGGAACTTAGTGCCTGATAAATGTGCTAGATTAATAGCTCCTATACGTGAAATCATCTATTTATCCACAGAATAAGCACAACAGAAGATCAGTTTAAGTTTCCTCACATTGCCCTACAAAGTGCCTCATCCCTGAAATAATAGAAACACACCTATAGATGATGTTAAATTAGTCCTTTGTCTCTTTACTGAGAGTGAGTACAATTTTCCAAAGCACCCAAGTTAACTTAGGTCCCATTTTCAAAAATTACTTAGGCATTTAGGAGCCTCAGTGAAAGTCAATGGGACTTAGGCTCCTAAGTCACATAAGTGCTTTTGAAAAGTTTGCCCCTGCTAGTAAGTATGCCACATAGTGCCAAATGTGGCGGTAGCTTTGGAAATATTAACACCTGTTCAAAAGTAGCTATGATGGGATCGCCAATTAATTTCACACATTGGTAGGCCTCCCACATCTATTAGTTCTTATTGATATTCATTCACTTCCAACTTTGACCTGATTTCAAACAGCTTGCTGGAATTGAAAGGTCCTGTAATTCCAGTACCAATCCTCTGAGCCATGGCAAATTCATTATTTTACTAATAAATGTGCCCAAAACATCTTTTAAGTTAAAATTTTAATTCTCCATGTATAAAAGGTCTAACACAAACACACAAACATTCTACCAAAACATTTTTCCTTACCAGCTCAGAGAACTCATTATTGCCTAGGTCAAGCCTCTCCAGCTGTGTCAGTTTGTGCATTGACCTGTAACAGACAAGGAAAATATGTAAGGTGAGAATTTTACCTTGAAATTTTGGACCAAATTTTACTCTGTTATATCAGATTAAGCCTCAGATAAAGCCACAGGTTTCAATTGAGTTACATCAGATTTACACTGATATAAGAGCAGAGTCTATAAAATTTGTTTCAGATTTAAGGCATATTAGTTTAAGTTCCTGAAGCAAAAAATATTACTTCTAATACAAAGATAGCCAAAAGGGAGCAAATTGAACCCTGATATAATTTTACTAATTTCACCTGAGTCACTCCAAGAATGAATTTAAAGTATTTAAAAAAAAAATAAAGTCATATATATTTTCACAATTCTAATGACATTTTTTTATTTATACAACCCCCAAAAATGAATTAGGGACTTTATGGAAAAAGTACAAAGACATGGTCCTTGCCCCAGAAGAGTTTTCAGTCTAATTTCAGACATGACACAATGAAATTGAAATTCATCCGTGTGCAGGGGAGCAGCACAGAGTCTACGTAACAATTAATTCCCACTTAAACCCTATTTTGAGGGCTTACGTTGGCCTGAAGTAATGCACAGGCTTGAGACTAGTTCTCTGCTCACGGGCACTTCTGGCCCTGCATACATGTAACAAACAATAGGAGGAAATGGAGTGAGAAAAGAAAAGGGATATACAGTAATAACATTACTAGATTACTCTGTTATTGTACATTTACATTTTATTGATAATCTGAAACTAATCTTTCATTCCTGCCATAACTAAACAGCTACACTGAAAAATATTATGGATTTTTTTCTGATCTATTATCTTAAATAAATCAATGTAAACATTCAAGATAAACTCTAAAACACAATTTTTAATTCAGCAATTATGCACTGTACCAAGATATCTAGTGGCGACATTTATTTACGGAGAGAAACCTGAAACCTACTAGATATTTAATGTAATTTGCCATTTTATAACATAAAGAGCATCAATGCTCAATAGAGGATTTGATGTGATGAGCCTTGTCCAAGAGATTAACCAAAATGAAAGGAGTCAAAACAGCCTAAAACATATACAGTGTTTTAAATGTATCGGTGATTTGCCAGTCCCTAGATAAAGACCCACTTTAATAGTGAAATAATATTCAGGGCCAAATATGGCTGTCTCTCATGTCGAAGTATTGTGGAAGCAACTTCATAATCTTACACAGAAAGAGAGATGTTCTTCATTAGATAAAAGATATTGGGCAAGAATTTAATATTCTTGAAGCATATTATAACAGTTTATTCTTTTTCTGTCTCTCACTATCTTTCTACACTAGAAAGTCTGAGGGATGTTTTTTCTAGGGATCAACAGACAGCTGGTACATCAGTGAAATGGAGGAAAGTACTAAAAAATTACCAGATTGTACCGGATTGTTTATGCTATTCTGTGGGTGCACTAAGGAAGTGGGAAAGCATAATGAGCTCCTCCTGCCTTGAGCTTCTGCTCCATTACAATTGCAATGCAGGACAGATATTTCTTCCTCTGTGCACTCCCTGGCATACAAGACACCCAAAAGGGATGTAGATCTGTGTCGGGGAAAACTTGCTGTACTCTCTCATAGCAGACTTCCTTTCCAGGGTGGTGAAGCTCCTTGCTGCTCATACTGCAGCACTGTGTAGACATGGAACAGCAAAGCCTACCAAAGCAGCTCACCTTCTCTGGAACACCATGAAATGCAACGAAAAATCAAGAATACGAGGTATGCAGGTCAACCAATTTATTAATCAACCACAGTGACTACGGTAAAAGTCTGTATCAGGAGGAACCTGAATTTACATCTGTGATTAATCAATATGTAACCATGAAAAAACTCATTTGACCACCTTCTACCTCAGTCAATGAAGCTGCAAATTATGAAAGGCAAGAATCTCACTGACAGTAAAATTCTAGATTTGAGGTCATTTATCTTGGTCCTACATAAATCAACTATAATTCCTCCCCTACCCCTGCAAAAACAAACAAACAAAACCCTACTCCTAAAAAGTCCCCATCCTTTAAATTCCTGTTATATGCTACATTGCATTCCCCCCCGCCCCCCACCCAGATACAGGTTACAAACATCACTGAAATGTATATTTAAATTAAACTATGTGAATTTCACAAATCAGAAGGAGCTGAGTGTGACAAAAGGCAGAGTAAGAATGCATTTGGGAGATTTTATTTTCTAGCACTGCATAACAAAGTTAGGCCACATTCAGGCTATGGAATTTAGAGCTCCATTCTACACAGCAAGAGATTAGAAAAGGTCCAAAGGGTAAAAAGTATAATAAATACCCAGGCTGCTTCCAGTGTCAATGTTCACATTGCTGCTTTAGTGCGCTAGTGTGAATCTGTCTATTGGGCTGGGAATAGCACCTTCCAAGCTGCAGTGTAGACCTACCCAATGGGCCCAGGATTTCAGCCTGAATTGTGTTGTTTAGAGTAGAGAGGACAGAGTCATCCCAAGCATAAACTGACTCTGTTAAAGCCATTTGAATTACACCAGCAACGAATAAGGCCCAAGATATTTATTTGTAAATGGAGTTTGTAAGATTCTCCAGTGAGGGTAGCAGTATAATCTATGCACCTTTTGGACTGATATTAAATACAAGGACAAAAGACAGTAAAAAACCCTCAAAACTAGGTACAAGATTTTCAACAGAAGGTAGAAAATTTTTTGAGTAACTTATGAACAGCAGTGGGAGAAGAAATCAAAGTTATTTTTGGTTATTGGTAGGCTCAGACAATATCTTGGTCAGACCAGACTGACAGCTTTTTTTCACTCATTACAAAGTTTCCGCAGGGCTGCTGTTGCCAAGTCCACGAGCACGGCGAACCAATGCTGGCGAGGCCATACCGGGGTGATCATGACGACACTGGCTTTATCCCTTTTGACTTCATGAGGGTCCTGCTGATAAGCAGGATCAGCAGGAAGTCATACATCAGGTCGCCTGTCCAAGACAGGCGAAAGGCATCAGAAAGCAATCCGCTGTCAAGATCTTGCAGGGAGAAGAACTGGGTCCATGAAGAGGGATGGGGAAGGGGAGTGGAGAGGGGAATAGAAATAACTGGAGGGTATATCCCACTACTACTGTGCTGAGGACCCACCAGTCTGATGTTATAGCAATCCAAGCAGGGAGGAAAAGAAAGGAAACAGGCAGCTTGAAAACAAAAGGGATGCAGGATCCTGGCTGCACACTGGAAAGTTGCCATTGGGCACACCCTCAAAACGCCTGCTTGCTTCCAGGCAGATAGTAGGCAGAGACAAAATAGGAGGAAGAGGCTGGTTATTGGCCTTGATGCTTGTAGCCCTTGCCCTTTTTACGGTAGGGCTCTGGTCGGGCTTGGCCTCCTGGTCTTTGAGGTTGCTGTGGCTTAAACCTCTTTCTGGCAGGGGCCGGTGTGTAGAGACCTAGAGAACATAAAGTAGCCCTAGAGTCCTAAAGCCCATGTAACCATGAGACTGTCTGTTCCACAAACAGGTCTAGGTCTTGAATTGACTACTAGGCCTCCATCGACAGTCCTGAAGATAGCAGCCACAATCCCTGTCTCATTGACACAGCCGAAATGGTGGACCTGGCCACTGAGTCCACCACATCAGAGGCTGTTTGAAGCGAGGTTCTTGCTACATTACTCTCTTCCTCTAAAACAGCCAGGAACTCCTCCACCATGGCCAAAATGTCAAAGAGGGTGTCAGAGGGTTCCGCCAGCTCCTCTGCTTCCAACCCCAGGTTTGCCACCACCCACTTTAAGAGCTCTGTGTGTGCCTTGAAAGAGTCCTGAGGTACTGTCTGGGATGGTCCTGCCACTGCCTCATTGGGGGAGGATGACGAGGAGGGTTGTTTAGGGGGAGGAGCCTCATCCAAGGCCAGAAGCTGCTGGTAGACACCTTGCTCGTATCCTTACTCTGACTCCGGGGGGGAGGAGATGATGCACGGGAGGAGATTGTTACCAACTGCCTCTCTGACACCTCCGACACCGATCGTTGCATCTGGGTTTCCAATGCCTGGGGGAACACCCACGGGTTCCAAAAGTGCCACAGAGTGAGCCCTGGGGGCATGCACCAGCTGGTAGTCTCAATGGAACCCCCTACCCAGATCTGGCTTGGTATGTCTAGCTTGAGGGACCCTCAATCTCCTCAGCCTCCGAGCCCAAGGAGGAAAGTTCCTGCCTTGGGGACCATGGCGGTGCTGTCGCTGTGTCCATCTCCCTTCCATGCCTACCATCCTGGTGCTTACTGCTAGGGGAGAGGTGCTAGGGCCTTGGTACCTTCTGCCTGGGGACCGGCAGTGAAGCATGGCACATCGACAATGGTACACTGATGATCAATGCCTAGAGCTCTGAGATCGATGCTGGGACTCCGAATACAGGAATGGGACCGTCTCAACTCTGGGGATTGTTGCTGTGAGTCCAGAGATCAGCATCTCAGATGCAGGGATGGGCAGCATGGTTCTAGGGACCTATGCCATGGTCTCAGGTGACCGCCATTGCTTTGAGGATCGATGCCAATGCTCCAACGACCATTGCCATGATTCCAGGAACCGGAGGCGCGTTGGGTCTGTGCTGACTGCCTGAAGAGCGATGCCATGCCTCGGAGGACTGACACCAAGAGTCCAGTGAACGGTGCCAGGAGCTCTGGTCGGTATGGGCGGGTCAAAAGCGCGTCTCCAGAGATCGCTGCTCTGATGTCGACAGCTGCGGTGCTGGGGAGCAATGCCACAAAAATGGAGAATGTTGCGTGGGCCCCGGTGATGGCTTCCCGCTCGAGACGACAACGTCTTGATGGGGCAGCGGCAGCACAGGCAAAGACATGATGTCTTTAGCAGCCTGGAGGACCTCTGGCATGGATGGAACCTCCAGGTGCCGGGGATCTCTGCCACTACCCGGAGTGGCTGGTAGGTCCCTTGGAGGGCTTGATAGCCTAGCCAGTGATGCAGGTGCCTGGCTGAGCTCCAGAGAAGATACGCTGCCACGCACAGGCCTATGCTCCTCTCCGGA